TGAGACTCCAACTCAAAAAAAAAAAAAAGATGAATGATCCTGGTCCTTGCCTTTTCCTACACACATAAGGTAACGCCTGCCAGGGTTCGTGATTATGCCATCTTTGAACAAATGTGCTCTTTTTTTCCGAGTCAGGGTCTCTGTCTGTTGCCCAGGCTGGAGTTTGGTGGCACAAACATGGCTCACTGCAGCCTCAAATTCCTGTGCTCAAGTGATCCTTTAGCCTCCCAAATAGTAGGGACTACAGGTGCACGCCACCACACTTAGCTATTTTTTTTTCTTTTTGGAGTTGGGGTGTCACTCTATTGTCTAGGTTGGAGTGCAGTGGCATGTTCACGGCCACCACAGCCTTGACCTTGACCTGCTGAGCTCAGGTGATTCTTCCGCCTCAGCCTCATGAGTATCTGGGACTACAGGTGCGTGCCATCACGCCCAGCTAATTTTAAAATTTATTGTAGAGATGCAGTCTCACCAAGTTGCCTAGGCTGATCTTGGACCTGTGGGCTCAGGCAATCCTCTTGCCTCTGCCTCCCAAAGTGCTGGGATGACAGGCGTGAGCCACCGTGCCTCGCTGGCTAAGGTTGTATTTTAAGCACAGAGGGAAACATTGGAAGTTAAAACCAAGAATGAACAATTTGTATCTTTTAAACAGTTTCCTCAGGCTGGGGACCCATTCCCCTATTCTCCATCCACACTTGTGGGTTCTTGTTCAGTGTGGGGCTTTGGGGACCCCCCTCCCAAGGATTAACCACAGTCCCTGCTCCTAGGGGACGCTCAAATCTCCTCCCTGCCTCAACCCCACCCCCAGTCAAGTCTCCCTTGCCCCACATGACACAATCCATCGAGCCATCAGAAACTAGTTTATTTTGATTGGTTTTTCATGGGACAGGGTTGGGATGGGGGGGAAGGCATCTGGGCACTGAGGCTTGGCTCTAGGGATGCTGGTCCCCCTCCTCAGCACTGCGGCGGCCAAAGTCCATCCATCCGTAGGCAGCTTCTTCCTCCTCCAGCCACGGCCCCTGCTTCTTGGACAGGTCTGAGAAGGTGAGAGAGGTAAGAATGGAGGAGGACGCCTAGCCTCCAGGCACCGTGGTCAAGGACATTCTGAAGGGACCTTGGCCAAGCCTGGCTGGGTGAGGCAAGCAGGGAGGGCGGTCGGCATATCCTACCTGCCACGAGGTGCGGGGGACCCTGGGGCCTCAGCTGCCTTCGGTGGTGAGAGGCTGGGGCCAGCTGGTCCAGCCAGTGCGGCTCTGGGTCCCTGTTGGCTGAGGGTTCGTCTGGCAGCCGCGACTGGGGCTTCCAAGAAGCTTCAGAGCAGGCTGCCAGAGCCAGTGCGAAGATCAGCACACACACACACGGTGGCTGCATCTTGTCTGCAAAGGAGAGGGAGACCCAGCTTAAAGGTGGGGCTGTCCCCACGCAGGCCCACAGGCAGGGACTGGACAAGATGGCCACCCAGCTTCTACTTGCTGACAAGCCTACAGCTCCGTGTGAGGTTAGAATGATTTGTTCAGTTCAGCTTTCCAGTTCCTGCCAGTTGCACCCCAGCCCCCGAGCCTTGTCTCTTTTCTGTTTACCTACAATGACAGCCACCGTTGCTCTTGGAGAAATTCAAAACCCAGGGCAGCGGTCTCCAAACTGTTCTACAGAATTTGAGGCCATGTCAGAGGCTCTGAAGCTGTTTAAGTCTTGTAAATTTTTTTTCTTTCTTTTTTATTATAAGTGGGATCTCACTATGTTACTCAAGCTGGTCTCGAACTCTTGGCCTCAGGTGATCCTTCCACCTTGGCCTCCCAAAGTACTGGGATGATAGGCATGAGCCGTTGTGCCTTGCCTAAGTCTTGTCATTTATTTTATTTTATTGAGTCAGAGTGTCACTCTGTCGCCCAGACTGGAGTGCAATGGCATGCTCACAGCCACCGCAGCCTTGACCTGCTGGGCTCAGGTGGTCCTTCTGCCTCAGCCTTCCAAGTAGCTGGAACTACAGGCATGCGCCACCATACCCAGCTAATTTTTAAAATTTATTTATTGTAGAGATGAAGGCTCACCAAGTTGTCCAGGCTGGCCTCGAATCCGTGAGCTCAGGCAGTTCTCTCACCTCGGCCTCCCAAAGTGCTGGAATTATAGGCATGAGCCACTATGCTCAGCCAAGTCCTGTTATTTAAAGTGAGCTTTTGCCAGGCGTGGTGGCTCATGCCTATCATCCCAGCACTCTGGAAGGCCAAGGTGAGAGAACTGTTTGAGCCCAGGAGTTCGAGACCAGCCTTGGCAACAAAAAATGAGCTGGGCATGGTAGCATGCACCTGTGGTCCCAGCTGCTTGGGAGGCTGAGGCAGAACGATTGCCTTAGTATAGAGGTTTGAGGCTGCAGTGAGCCACGATGGTGCCACTGCACTCCAGCCGGGGTGACAAAGTGAGACTCAGACTCAAAAAAAAAAGAAAGAAAAAAAGAGACTGTGTACAGTGGCTCAAGCCTGTAATCACAGCACTTTGGGAGGCTGAGGTGAGGGGATTGCCTGGGCCCACGGGTTTGAGAACAGCCTGGGCAACATGGTGAGACCTCATCTTTACAATAAATAAAAAAATTAGCTGGGCATGGTAGCGCATGCCTGTAGTTCTGGCTATTTGGAAGACTGAGGCGGAAGAATCGCCTGAACCCAGCAGGTCGATGCTGGGTTGGCTGTGAGCGTGCCACTGCACTTCAGCCTGATTGATGGAGTGAGACTCCAATTAAAAAACAAACAAACAAACAAAACAAAAAACCTGGAATCTCAAACAAACAAAACTAAATGCTCATCTAAATTTGAATTCACTGTTTTTGTGTTCTTTTAGTCTCATTGTCCTGACTGGTTTTATTATAAGTAAATGATAAACATTTTTCTTTGTAAAAATACATTTGTTTTAATAAAAGTTTTCACTTTTTCATGAGGTGCTTGTTTGGTTTATTTTAGGAGGATAAGAATTCTGTTGCTAAAGAAACAGTTGGAAAATCAATGGCTAGGTACAATGGCTCATGCCTGTAATCCCAGCACTTTGGGAGGCTGAGGCAGGAGGATCGCTTGAGGTTGGAAGTTTGAGACCAGCCTGGGCAACAAAGCATGACACTGTCTCTCCAAAAATTAAAATAGATAAAAATTGGAAAAGTCAGTGATCTGAACTGTACTGTCAGATACTAACCATGTGTGTTGTCCACTGTGGAAGACACCCACCACACACGGCTCTTCACATTTAAATTAATTAAAATAAAAACTTACTCCCTTACACTGGCCACAGTTTAAGCATACATGTGGCTACTGTGCTGGACAGTGCAGATACAGAACAGTTCCCTAATCACGGAGAGTTCTTTTGGACTATGCTGGTCCAGGAAAGAGCTTGAGATGACACCCATGAGCTGTGGGTTCCAGGCCCAGCCCTGCCCTGCTGTTTGTACAACTTTGGGCAAATCACAGCTCCCCTCTGGGCTTCGGTTTCCTCATTTGAGAGCAAGCAAAAGTGCCCTGTTCCTCTCACCTCCCAGGGCAGTTGAGCGTGGAGGGACAGGGTCAGGGCTGGGCCCTGGCTGAGGCCAGGGGCAAGTGGAGCACCCGGCGAGCCCTGCAGCCAGATCTAGCTCCACCCTGGGCGAAGGGAAGGGTCCCAGCCCTGGAGACACCAAGGGGCTCTGACCAGTGGCCTGGTTCCTTGATGGGAGTGGAGGGCTTGGCAACCACCTTCCCAACCCGTCCCTGGAGTCTTCTCACCTGAGAGCTGGAAGGAGGTGCGGTGGCTGGGTCTGCTGCCTCTCCGGTCTCTGCTCGGCTCAGTGCTCCGGGCCTGCCTTTAAAGCCCTCGAGGTGCCCCCCAAGCCCCGCCCCCGTGAAGCCAGGCTTCCCTCACAGCAAGAGGTGGGGCACAGGCACAACCTATCAGTCCTGCCTCACCCTTCCATTTGTTAGCTTAGATGTGGGGAGGGGAGTTGACCTTCAAGGTGGGGGTGATCGTGGTAGGGGCAACTCTGCAGTTGGGCACGAGGGCCTGGCAGGAGGCAAGCTCTCTGGGTTTCGGCCCGCTGTGTCCTTGGCACGCAGCCCTCAGATGACGTGGGACCCTTCACGGGCGGAGGTAGGCAAGGAAATGAACCAGATGACTTCGGGCTTGGAGAAGGTGTATGTCACCACTTGCTGGTGTTTGAGGAGCAGGGAGGGTGTGAACGAGGTGACATATCGATCCCCTGTTCCCTTGCTGGGCTCTATAAACACACGGTATTGCAGATACCAGGTGCAGTGGGCCATGGGCTGATGGCCCTGCCGTCTCTGCCAGAGTCTCACGTTCTAGTCACCTCTGAGGCTCCCGCTTTCCCTGGAAGCCCTTCATCAGTGTCTCCTCTCTCAGGCCCTCTGTGTGGGACTGGGCTTGGCTTACAGCTCCCCTTCAACCCCTTCAGATCGGCGCCTACCCTACCTCTGGCAAGCCTCTACCCAGAGTCAGTTCCTGGAGGCTCCTGCCTGTTTAGGCTCCCTCATCTTGCTGTCAGAGGGAGCCAGTCGACATTAAGCATAAGACATATATATATATATATATTGAGTTGGGGGTCTCACTCTGTTGCCTAGGCTGGAATGCAGTGGCATGATAACTGCTAGCCACAGCTTCAACTTTCTGGCCTCAGGCAATCCTCCTGCCTCAGCCTCCTGAGTAGCTGGGTATATGCCATCGCATCCGGATAATTAAAAATTTTTTTTTGTAGAGGTAAGGTCTTGCTATTTTTTTTTGAGTTGGAGTCTCACTCTGTCGCCAGGTTGGAGTGGAGTGGCACACTCCCAGCCACCGCAGCCTCGACCTGCTGGGCTCTGGCGATCCTTCCTCCTCAGCCTTCCAAGTAGAGGGAAGCACAGGCGCGTGCTACCATGCCCGGTTAATTTTTTTTTTGAGTTGGAGAGGTCTTGCTATGCTATCTTGGCTGGTCTTGAACTCCTAGGCTCAAGCAATCCTCCCATTTCGGCCTCCCAAATTGCTGGATCTATAGGCATGAGCCATTACACCCAGCCCACAACTTTTCAATATAAAAACACAACTTAAAATGGCAGGCTGGGCAACACAATAAGACTACATAAATAAATAAATTAGCTGAGAGTGATAGCGTGCGTGCACTTGTAGTCCCAGCTACTCGGGAGGCTGAGGTGGAAGGATCACCTGAGCCCAGGGGGTGGAGGCCATAGTGAGTCATGATGGTGCCACTGTCCTCCAGCCTGGGTGACAGAGGAGACCCTGGCTCAAAAAAATCTTAAAATGGTTAGTAAATAAATGAAAAGAAAGCATTTACCAAAGATATGCCAGAAAACAACATGGTACGCTTGTTGGCTTATTTGACTTTGACACGGTTGAGATGGACGCTGTGAGCTCTCAGCGGTTTTTGATTTTTCCACAGTGGAGACTGGAGATATTGCCCTTGTGCATGGCCATCAGGGCCCCATCCTTGTCTGGGGAGTTGTGGTGGCCCTTGGGTCTTGGAGAAGGGCAGTGGTACCCACGCTCACAGCCAGCCTTGCTGAGAATTAATGCGTGAGGACAGAGCTGGCTGGGCGGTGTCCATGGCAACCGGCTGCCCAACGTTCTGGAACCACTCTCACCGAAGCAGGATGCCATGATTCAGCAGCTGGCAGAGAGGAAGGTGACAAAAAAACAGGGCAGGCCCTGGTGATCAGGAGACTAAGAGATGGAAGGGCTTCAACGGGGCCTGGGGAAGCAGGGGGGTGGGAGCCACTCCACCCACGCTCAAGGGGAATGGAGAGCTAGCATTGCCATGGAAACGGGCAGTCAAGCTCTCAGCAGAGCCCAAGTGGTACTAGAGTCCAGACTTCGTCTGTGCTCGTGAAGGGAGCTGTGCCCTTGACTGTTCTCTCACAGGGTGGGCTGCATGAGGGGTGGCATCTTTACCAAACAGAAGCATGTCGCCCCTTCCCTGGGCGATGGCAAGTATTACCATGTGCAGGCACTGCCAGTTGTGAGAGTGGCGGCCTTGGGGCCAGGGAGCTCTCAGTCATGGAAATTGCATGTTTTCCTCACAACGGGACCTTGTCTGAGGGAGAGGGATGGCTTTCCTGGTTCTGCCTTCTTCCAGCTGTTGAGCTTTACATAGATCTCTCCTGCTCTCTGAGCTGTTTTCTGCTTCAGGAAATGAGGAAAACAACTTGCTGTGAAGGTGATGTACAGCACCCAGAACATTGTGAGCATTTATTAATAATTCATTTTAAACTGTCTCCCTCTTTTCCTCTCTGAGTCTCAATTGACTTCATCTGTGAAATGGAAATCATTTATTTCTATCCCGAAGGGCTGCAGCGAAGAGAAAATGTGACAAGTCTGTGCACACACTTTGCATACATGGGGAAATT